CCTGTTTCACGCGACGCACCCCGATGACCGTGTGCGGAGTATAACAAGGATCACTGCCAGTATACTGCAGAATGATGGCGTCTAACTTTGAATTCAAAAAGTTTGCTACTTCTCCGGGGGAGTGAAAATTTTACCAGCCATTATAGCAACCCAAATAACCCTCATAACAGCAAAGATAAACAATACAATAATACAACAACCAGACCAATACCGGTTTCACGGATCTCCTCAAACACGAACGCTGACGGGAGACAGCTGCGGAGCAACCATCCAGGGTACGACCTATGAAGTGTTCCCTAGTTCTGGAACAGATTAAATAAAGCGATCCAGGGACAACCTTACAGTCCTCCGGTGGTCACCTCCCCTCTTTCCCGCTAGTGTCCCAGCTTCCAATGCCCTGTAGTCCCCAGCATTTGTGGAGGGCCACCATCACGACATTGGCATTGTGGCCAATTCATTCTCTGTAAATGCTGGGACACTGTGAATGCCCCCAAACACCTGAATGCCCATCATTTCCAAACATGTCCTTTGGTTACTCTGCTCCATCTAAATCACAATTTGATGCTCAGCTGTTGATTTTTCATGATACTTTCACTTTCAGTTGCATTTGACATCATACACTTTTTTTTACGCAATGGTGCAATAAACCCCTAGATCTATGTTGACGTTTCTGTAACTTAATCACCCAAGCTATCCCCGCTGCCCGCTGACGTCTCTTCTCAGTCCTGCAATGTGACAATGCGCCTGGCTCTTGATGAAATCAGTCGCGAGTGACCGAATTCCAGGCCGGCGCCACCACTACAAATCGAAAAGAAGTGATTATCATGTACACGACCGTGTCCCCATTTGTTTTTCGACAGAGAAGTTATTTTGCTGCCACTACTACGTTGCCAGTGGTGCACGGACACGAACAACGGCAACTCGATACGTTCTGTGCTAATAACACCGTGTGGCCTTTAAAATACAAAAAAAAATAGGTGACCCTTTCGGACAATGGCATTTTTATCTTACCTATAAATGTAATTTTTTTGTCTGTCCGTTTGTCTGCGTGTCTGTGGACGAAACTTGTGAAGGATTTGGCTCACGAACCGTGGGGTTTACGTATAAAAAAGTAGCCAGGTACCACGCGATAAGCCCCGTGGTGAGCCAGCACTATTCGGATTTTGCATCCGTCAACTTTAAAGTAGTTTAATGAACCATTTAGTACTATTATTTATTTCCTTACGCCGCTGAGCACGCGCCAAAGCACGCATTTTCGCATGCGCGACACAGCTGACGGGGGTTGCTCCTAGCAACGCACACGCCTTCGTTGGGAGGGGGTGGAAAAGTCTCTTTCACGTTAAAAATGCAAAAAAATACACACAACGCTGAGGTAAAGTCTTCAAAGTGTCATGTCCTCTTCTCCCCAACTACAATGTGTGCACTTACTGATGTAGAGGAGTAGTTGGAGGAAGCAAGGGTGGCACAGTCGGGTTTTTTACAATCGGGTTTAATTGTCTTTTTATATTTAACCCGATCATCTGAGATTGGGAGAAATCCGGTTTAATTGGTTTTAATTGCAGAACCGCACTTCGCCAGCGGCCCGCTGGACACCGCGCCTGCTTCCGCCTATTTGCGCAATTGACGCCATTTTCTTATTGAGTGATATACATTTTCCAACAACGATGTCCAACAGCGGCGCCCGCACGGCTCTCAGCCCCGACGTTGATGATGACAGCAGCGCCGTGTTGCTCGTCTCCGGTGGCAACGAGATCATGTTGATCGACAACTATGACGAAGAAGACGCCGACGGCCCCGAGCAACGGCCCAAGAAGCGTGGCCGTAAGACTGCCGACGTTTGGGAGCTCTTCACCGAGGCCAGCCAGCCGCACAAGGCCAAGTCGAACATGTGCAAGCACTGCAAGACGCTCATCAATTATCACAAGAAGATTGAGTCGGTCAAGGGGAAGAAGACCGCGTTGCAGTGGTGGCAGACCGACGGCTCGGAGTGGCCCGACCTGAAGAAGATCGCCATAAAGCTATTCAGCATGGCCACGTCGTACGTGGCATCCGAGCGGAACTTCTCAACGATGAGCTTCGTCCATTCCAAGCTAAGGAACTCACTGGCGCCCACGATTGTGGAGAAGCTCGTGTTCATCAAGACCAACCTGCCCGACGCATTCTACGACTACCCCGTGCCCGACGGCCCCGAGTACGATAGCAGCACCGACGAGGAAGCAGCCTAAGCCTATCAGAGTTTCGTATTCATTAAACCAGGTTTTAATTGACTGAAATTGGGTTTAATTGTATTAAAGAAAAAACCCGATGCCTGCCGCTGGAAAAATCGGGTTTTTTCCACCCATGGGAGGAAGTGAGGGCATCGGCAGGAAAGAGCTGGATGATGTCATAGGGTGAGGTCATGTTACCCAGAGGGGAGGGGTACTTAAGGGGGACCCCGGACAGAGGGGCGGGGTCGTTGTGGGGAGCCGAGGGAACGGAGGTCTCGAGGGAACGGAAGACACGCCGCTCGGCACCGAGACCCTAGGCCGAGGAAAGAATAGGATTAGTGGGGAGCTTAGGTGAGGATAGGCCGAGGAGTTAAGCGGGTACCAGGACGGTCCATGGGAACGACCAAGTGTAGAAGTGTCTACCTCTGGTGTGATCCGGTGATTCTGTATGTGAGTTAATAAACTGGCAATAGCCCTTACAGAGAATCTCGTCTCCGTGTGAGTTTACACCACTACACTACTATAGGGTAGGTAAATACTAATATTATAGCGCTTAGATAGTATCTTTGTAGAGCGGGCAGGGGGATTGTGGGGGAGGGCGAGGGTAGCGGCCCAGCCCCAGCCTGCCAAGATGCCACCTCGTCCGGCTGGGCTATCTAGGCGAGGCCGGGGGCTCTACGCGAGACTAGGCCTCACGAAGGCACTGTAAAGTTAGTAGTTTGTGCTATAGAGTCGATATATACTGCTATAGAGTCAGCATGTACTACTGTAGTGATAGCAGGTGCCACACCACAGTATGCACTGCTGTAATCATAGAAGGTACCACCACAGTCGGTATGCACTGCTGTAGTGATAGTAGATACTCCTATCGTGTTGGTAGATACTACTATAGAGTTAGCCGATACTAAAACAGTATATACCACTACAGTCAGTAAATACTGCTACAGTCAGTAGATACTACTATAGAGTTAGTAGTTACTACTATAGAGTTGGTAGATAGTACTGTAGGGCCAGTAGATACAACTATGATCAGTAGTTGCTACAGTCAGTAAATACTCTTATACAGTCAGTAGCTACTACTGGCTCAGTAGATACTGCTGTACAGTCAGTAGATACAACTACAAAGTCAGTAGATACTATTTACTCTGTATGTAGGGTGTGTAGGTATATATATCTACGCGGGGGTAGAAATATTTTTTGAGGGGGGGGGGTCGACAATTTTCGGAAACCTTTTCTATCAACTATTTACCTGCCACTTTCTATAACTTTTTGGACTTCTGCAAGCCTCTTATCATTTTGTTGGTGGAGAAATGGACAAACGGCCCACCAGGCTTTCACAATAGCTTAGTATCTGTGTATGTATATGTAATGTTTTTTTAAGTTTTGAAATATATTTTTCCCCCGGGCAATGCCGGGTACTTCCCGCTAGTATATTCTTTTGTTATTTCGCCAGGTAAGGCCCACTGAGCTACGTAGCTCTTTTTAAGGGAGTGACCTGGCCCGCAAATGATAGCTCAACAAAGTGGCTTATTACATTGAAATGTATAGCAGCCAAATACCCTAAATATTCGTGAAGTTGATAAAAAATGTAGAGGGAAAAACCGGAGAACCTGGAGAAAAATCCAATCGACCACAGGGAGAGAGACGCACATTCTAAATATACAGCAGGCATCAGGGTAGGGATCGAACCCACGACCTCCTGCATACCAGGCAAGGTAGTTAACATCTCGCCACCGTGGCGCCCATGAAGAAGGACCATTGCCCAAAACATTGCCTATTATATATTTTTGGCGAGTGACATTTGAATCAGTCCTGCCCCCCCCCTCCCCCTCCTTTGACCAACCTCCACTAACCGTCGGCGGTGAAGTATGGTCAAACAACACGTACAACTCGCACATTGTGGGGGGAGGCCTTCATCCAACAGCGTACTGACAAAGAGCTGTACATTACTATCATGAGCTTAAGGAATCAATATTCATCGCCGAGTTGAGTCACCTAATCTGTGCCATCTGCAGCTCGGCATTATTCCTAGAGTAGGGGCTAACGGGGTTTTTTTTTGGTAGATGTCAACATCCAGGCACCTGCCATTTGTAGCAGAGTTCCCACGTCACCGTCAAAAGGATTTCGTTCAAATCCTGGTCCGTGATGGACTCAGCCCATCAGCTCTTCAGGGTCGATTAAAGTGCATAACCACTTCCAGCAGCCTTTCACGCCAAGCACGCTTCGTTTGGTTAATTGTCCGAGCGTGCACCTCTCTGTTTCTCTGCACACTTATAAGCATAACTTGGATTGTTGTTTGTGTGATCCATACCAGGTGAATGCACACCGAGTGGTTCTGAATTGTAACGATGCGCTGGATCGTCGATACTAAATTTCTACTTCCCACTGGTTCCGAAACTGCCATAAGAGTTGTTGTTGTTCCTGTTGGTGGTGATCGCTTATTTAGTCGCTATGCCCCCTCCTACACAGGCAACTCCGTGTGGTCCGCCCTGCTCTTTGATTTCAAGTCTCTACTCGAGACCTTCCCCTTCAACCGCCGTACCTTCGGACCCTCTTAATTACTTAATTTCTGTGAGTGGTTGAGTGGGTGAGGTGGGTGAGTGAATGAGTAGGTGAGTGATTGATTGGGTAGGTGAGTGAACGATTGAGTGGGTGGGTAAATGATTGGGTGAGTTGCTTACCTTTTCTCCTTGCTCGCTCCCGCGATTCCCTCCCCGCCCTTCCTCTATTTCCACACTCCCGAGACGTTTGGTATATTTTGGGCGCTTCACAAATGTAGCTTGTATCTTTCAGGAAGAAGTCTGGTGAAGCGGATATGAACGAGGTGATGGCTGCGATGGTGCTCAGCAGTCTGTCGACCAGCCCTCTCGTGCGGAGCCCGCCCGGCCTCTCTGGCCCTCCTGGCCTTTCCGGTATGATGGCCGCGGTGCCAGTTGGTCACCAGCAAACACCATCACCGTCATCGCCATCACCATTTTTGCTCCTCCGATTAGCACTTACAGTTGGCTACGTACGATGCGTTCGTACATACATACGTCGCCCTCATCAATATCGTCATCACCGTACTTCACCTTTCTCCCTCACCCCCCCATCTCTCGCTTCTCCAGCAGACGCCCAGTCGTGGCACGATGCGGCCGTGTCGGCAGGCATGGCCGCCGTCTGCGGCGCCGACCTCGCCGCCAGCTTCGGAAGCAGCAGCGGCGTCTGGAGCTGGGATCTCCCCAGCGACCGGTCCAACCCATCTACGCCCTCGCCCCCCCTTCCCGGGGACTCCATCCCGCTAAGTGGCGCCCCCCTCGGCAACGCAGCCACCTTTGCCGCCGCTCCTCCGCGGAGCACCGCTCCGTTCACCGCGGCCGCCGCCGGTGCGTTTGCGGCCGCCCCCTTCCCCGTCCGCCACGGCGTCGCCACCGAACTGGCCCGGAAGGACCTGGACTTTTCCCGCGGCGACGTCGGTGTGGATGGGCGCAAGGTAAACGCCGCCGCTGCAGTTGCCGCCGCCAATGCTGCTGAATTTCAGAGTGGCGCCAACCCAAACCGTGACGCCGCCAACCCTGCCCACAAAAAGAAGCCATCCGGCAGCGTTGGCGGCGGCATTGGCTGTGGTGGCGGCAGTGGAGTGAAACCGGGCTTCAAGCTCGGCTCTTTGTCCATGCCCACCACTACCGAAGTCCCCATTCCCTTGGACTTTGACTGCCTATCATCATCTCCCTCGTCCGATTCTCCACCGTCACCGCAGTCCCCGCCGGCGCCGGCACCACCGGACGGCGTGTGCCTAAAGCGCGCGGCCCTTTCCCACGTCTACTCGTCGCGGCTGGCGCAGCTGATGGTGCAGCCGGAGGGCGGCGGAAGCGGCGGAGGCGGGCGCGGGCACGGCGCCGCTTTCGGCGAGGCAGCTCGTCCCGGTCGCGACGAAGGCGTCGCGGTGGGGGCGAACTGCGTCGGCAAACTGGCGCAGGAGGCTAACCGCGGCGGTACGACGCCGCCCGCTCCCGTGAGCGCGCACCACCCGGCCTTCCCGTCCTCGAAGCCCGTGAGCGTCCCCGCGAGACGCGGGGTGGCGCGGGGACCGGCCCCTGATGGACCCGACGGAGCCGGGGCCGCCGGTGCCGCCGCCGCCGCGGCGTTTTCAGACGACGGGCACGACGGGCACGCGGCTCAGAGCGAGCTGCTGTTCGAGGAGCCGTCGCCGCGCAAACGCAAGGTACAGCGGCGCGGAGCAAAGCAGCCCTCATCTCGGGGTGGTGAGGGGGGGGGCGTTACAAAGTTGATTTCTGTCTTAGCTGCGAAACAATTGGACAGCCCTGGGGTGACGCGGTGGCAAGATGTTAACGACCTCGCCTGGCATACAGGAGGGTGTGGGTTCGATCCCGATCCTGATGCCTGCTGTTATATTTGGAGTTTGTGTGTGTCTCTCTCACCATGGTCGCGTGGATTTTTCCCCGGGTCTTCCGGATTTTTTCTCCACATTTAGAAACTTGCCTTTAAAGTTTTCGGCTGCGATTAATGTCCACGTGATAATCCACTTCGTTGAGCTGTCATGTGCGGCTAGGTCGCTTCTGAAAAAGGGATGTATAGCTCCGTGGGCCTTACCTGGAATAGTATTGGTTCTAATGTAACCCATGCCTTTTATTTAGATTTGTGTTAAAGTGATTTGGTGTTGTAGATTATTATTATTACGAGTTGTAGTAGACATTGTGTCTGGCGTCCCACGCCAGGCTGTTGAGGGTTAGCGTGAGGAGAAAAAGACTGGGGGAGAGACGAGGGAGTAGACAAGTCCATGAAGCATCGTACAGTGGGGGGTGGGGGGGGGGCAGTGACACGGCTAAGCTATCGCGCTCGTCGCTTCATTGTCGGCGTGTGTGATTGGAGCCTAGCGGGCCACCCTCGTTAATACCTGTGGGATTATCGGACCAAAAAAAAAGATATGCCGTCTCCTTCACAGCAGACGAAAAAAAATTCCACAACTACACGCGAGAAAGAGTAGTAGTAGGCCACGTGTACCGGTGTCACGGGCCACATTGGAAAATATTTTAAATCTTAATTTTAGAACTTTCGTGACCGCAGGAATTATTATTTGGTTCTTTCGGTTAAGTCACGTCTAAAGATAAAATAATAAATTATGCTATTATTTAATTTAATTTATTATTTTATCTTTAGACGTGACTTAACCGAAAGAACCAAATAATATTTTAAATATTACTCCTAAATTACTGAATTGGGTAAAAGCAACATCGCCCCCTACTGCGAAATTACTGTAGACCATACGTATCTGTGAAACATAGCAGCGTCGTGACAGCCTTGCGATCTAATCAAATGTGTATGTTGAACTTCTTTCGTACGTAGCCAACCGTGCTGATCGGAGGTGCGGGGGAAAGACAACAAACTAAACACAAGCACAGTTCTAAAGAAATTAGTTCGTCAATCTAGATGATAATTTAGAAGTGCACAGCTGCAGTAACTTCCTAATATTGGAAGGAAGAGCGTTTCAGATGGCTGCAGAAAAACGTGGCTATCGAACGTACAGGCGCTCCTTGACATACGCAATAGATGAGTTCCTTGAAAAGCGTGCGTATGTCAAAATACATTTTCCCATGAGAAATCATTGTAAAGGAGGGGGTTAGAGGATTTCACTCACAGACATTATCGCCTCAATTATCCTAGCCTATATCAATACGTTACATGTACACGCAATATAATACTTTTAATTCAAAATAAAATCATGTAAACTCTAATATACTTCCTATAAAATAAAAATGCAAATAAAGATATACAGAATTACTTAATGTAACTATGCCGCAGTTGCGTTGTGGAGAGGATGCTGTACAGTAAAGCACACGAGTTATCGTGACGCACTGGCTGCTGGCAACGCCATTGTGTCGCAGTGCCAGGCTAGGGGTGGTGCGTACGTCTCATTGCGGGATGACGTTATTCCTAAAATTGTCTCGCGCATGTCAATAAAAGGTCTGAATACAAAGCGTACGTTATTCCAAAATGGCATACCACAAAAGCGCGTAAACCGAGGATTGCCTGTACTGATGTTTTTAAAATGGGGGATGTTGGTTTTTGTGTCGCCAGAACTCAATGAAGGTGATGTTCAAGTGCATGTGGCCAAACTGTGAAAAGGTCCTGAGCACCTCATCTGGGATACAGCGACACATCCGCACCATCCACTTGGGGTGAGTGAGTGAGCGAGCGAGTGAATAAGTGCATCAACCTGCTTGCAGGGCCTATGGAAGGGGACAGGGACACATGGACATTTGTCGTGTTTGCATGGTCGGTCGTGCGCGCACACTTCTTATACATGCTTTGTCTCTACACCGTACGTACCCGTCATCCCTGCTGTGTCCGGACACGTACACGCACACAGCCGTAACGGTGACTCGGATCTCAGCGACGGTGAGGAGGACTTCTACTACACGGAGGTGGAGGTGAGCGTGGAGTCCGTGACCGACGGCCTCAGCAGCCTGTCGGCCGTGTCGCCGACCGTGTGCCACCTGCCCTCGGTGGTGGTGCCACCTCACCCACACCACCACCACAACAACAACAACCACCCGCACCACCTGCAGCAACTGCATCAGCAGCAGCAGCAGCTGCAGCACCGCGGAGATGGCCGTGGCGTCCTGCCGCTGAGCCATTCGGCACCAACGGCAGCCGCATTCTGGCACGTGCGCGCCGATCACGCGTACCAGGTGTGTGGCAAGGTGTGGGTGTCAGCTGTGTGTGTGTCTGTGTGGGTGTCTGTGTGGGTGTCTGTGTGTGTGTGTCTGCGGGTGTCTATGTGTGTGCGTGTCTGTGTGTGGCGAGCTGTGTGTGTGTGTGTCTATGTGGGTGTCTGTGTGCGTGCGTGTCTGTGTGTGGCAAGCTGTGTGTCTGGGGAGCAATAGTGTAGTGATTAGCGGGCTGAGCTGAGAACCTGGAGACCCAAGTTCGATTCCCGCTCATGGCCAACGCCAGTGACGATTATCTGAACCGGTCATGGGCCTCCCCTAGGTCGACTCAGCCTCCTTATGAGTACCTGGTGTGGTGTGTAAACATCGATACTGGGGAGATAAAGGCGGCCGGGCGTGGTGCTTGGCCACCCACCCCCTCGTATGCCGTGTCGGCCTTCATAGGTGCTCGCTAACAACACTTGCCCCAACAGTCTGGTAAGGCTTATATGCGGGATCTTTGTCTTTGTATTTATGTATGTACATATGTTGAACTTCTTTTGCGCCATACATAGCCAACCGTGCTAATCGGAGGTGCGGGGGTAGGACAACAATCGATACCTACTTGTGTGCATGTCTATTTGGGTGGGGAGTGGTAGCGCGATGGTGAGCTCACCGCGGCTACGAATCCATAACCCTCGGTTCGATTCCCCCTCATGGCCATCACCGGTGACGAATATCTTAACCGATCCCGGGTCTCCCCAATGTCGACTCGGCCTTAAATTAGGACCAGGTGCAATGTTTAAACATCAGCGGCGGGGAGACAAAGACGGATGGGTGTGGAGCTATGCACTTGAAAATCTAAATTGAAAATATTTTCTTTAGAACGGCTTTCTGTGTTTATTTTGTTGTCCTTCCCCCGCACCTCCGATTAGCGCGGTTGGCTACGCACGGTCCGAAAGTTTAACACGTACGTACATATCGGCCTTATTAGGTGTCAATTAACAGCGCTTGCCCTATCGGTCTGTGTTGGCGACACGGGGAAACTTTTGACTTTTTTCGTGATGCAGTGGTCTAGCTCACCACTGGGTGGTGTACGTGAGTTCCAAGTTTTGCTTTGGTCGCATTTTTAAACTGAACTCATTATCTCACTTTACGTCTCATCTCATTTAACCTCTTGTCTCACCCGACCTCTCTCATCTCACTTGACCCCGACTCTCATTTGTGTATTCCCCTGGTCTCTCCCCCTACGTTCCTGACCTGTGACCCCTGATCCCTCAGGCAACGCCCCCCTTGTCGGTCCCAGTGGGCGAATCTGGTCGCGGTGTCGGCATGAGTCTCGGCAGCGTCTCCTGGCAGAGTCCTACCTTCAGCTCACCAGTACAGGTACGGCTCTCTCCTCCTATAACGCGGTGGTAGTTTGCTTTGCTGCAGAACACCGCTGTAGTATGGAAAAATCCCGTTATAATACATAATATAGCGTGTCAAGCACTGTTCCGAAGATAACGCCTGGGATGTGTAATGCAGGCTGAATAAAGACTGGCGCGTGGGTAGCGTCTAGAAGCATCCAGTAGCATCCGGATGCCTTGTGCGATGCCACCGTACGATCGCTCATTCCTAGTCGCTGCGACGTAGTTCCATTCACTCGACGGCGTTATATCCAATTCGCATCCTCGTGAAAAAAATGCGTTTCCTAATGCATTCAACGCGCTGTGTCCAATTCGCGTTATGAAACCAACATGCGGCGTTAGGAGAACGCGGACTGTGCTCCGAGAACTCGGCGCCAACAGCTCATGCAATGTTTTCCGCCTCAACCCCCCCCCCCCCCCCCCACTGGTCTCCTCAAAGTAAGCTTTGGTGTAGTGAGCCATCATTTGTTTACAGCGCGAGTTAATCGTCGCCGCCTGCGGTAGTGTCAGAGCAGGGGGTGATGTCACTGTTGGGTGTAATTCCAAACAGTAATTTTGCGGGTCAGTTTTCCGGTTTTTCCCCTTCACATTTAGAATCGACATCACGCGTTTAGAGTACTTGCCTGCTACAAATGTCCACATGATGATAGGACACTTTGTCGAGCTATCATTTGTGATAGCCAGGTCGCTTCTTTAAAAAGATCTGTATAGCTCGATGAGCCTTACCTGGTATGTAAAAAAATTGTTTAGTTTTAGATAACTTCGACTTTGTCCAATTTGGACCATGGCGCCCAGCACATAATGGCCATCGTTGTTTCAACATGACGTTGGGGATCTTTTGAACGTCCGCCAAAGTGGTTGGCGTGCATTTAACAGTTAATACGCCAGCAGCAATAACCAGCCTCACTGAGTCTAAAGACTTATTTTTAAAGGAGGCTCATGCTACGTTTTTTTCGCAGTTGCCGTGCTTAATTCTCAGCGAGCAATTTGCTGGTAACTTTTCAGCATTGGGGACACTTGGCCAATACCAGTTACAATGTATGTTTTTATGAACTGGGAAGAAACAGGAGAAACCTGGAGGAAACCCATGCAGAACAGAGGTAGAGAGAATATAAAACTCCACACACAGAGGGCGCTTGAGTCAGGAATCAAACCCAGGCGCAAGTTGCTACCCATGTTGTTGTTGTCGTGTTCCGTGTTCATCTCCACGGTATCCGCATGGCGTCTCCGGTCCTGTTTGGGGATGCAGGTATCGCCGACGCGCCCGCGCGTGGCTACGGTTGCCGAGCACCGCCTGCAACATCACCACCACCACCACGCGCACCACGCGCACCATCCCCATCACCCCCATCACCCACATCACGCTGCCTCGCCCAAGGCCCACGTTCTACTCTCCTGCTCGCCCAAGTCTGGGCCTGGTGTCAGGTGCGTTTTCTCTCGTAGCTCTGGCTCCAAGTTGATTTCGTGTAACTGGGTGAGCGAGAGCTCGGAGAGACCAGAGATGAATCTCAATTGCAAGAGTGACCTGTGGGGGTCAGTGGGTGAGTGTGTAAATTAATAAGTGGGTATGGAGTGGGTGGGTGATTGATTGATTGAGCGGGAGAGAGTGGATATGTAAGTCAAGTCAAGTTAATTCTGTATAATAAGGTGAGCACTCAAGAGACCAGGATAGTCTCATTTGTCGAAAAATTCTGAAAGCAATCACGTAACATCTTGAGTACAACATAAAAGCAAATAGAAGTCCTGACAAAAATAATCAAATGGAGACCAGTGCAAACACAATTGCGTGAAAGAAGAAATTGAAAAGGGTGCAATAACTTAAATCAATGTGAGATGAAGGTACATACCCAGTAACAGAAGTTGGCTTTTAACAAATAGTCTTCGTACAAAAAATACATTCCTGTAAACACAAAAATAGAGTTAAGATTATTATTGCACTCGTGTGTTAACAGACAGAGATATGGATCAGACATCCATAACGCCATTCGGCCAGGCGGGTGAGCTGGCGGGCGCTGTGGTACAATAAAAGCGGACTGCGACGGAATCACTGATATTAGCCAATCAAATAAAGGGAGTGTCACACCACGACTCGATCCAATTGTTGCTTACCAATGAGTTGATTGCCAATGAATCACATTTTCAGGAAGGCCACCCTATCAACTTTTGAGTTACTGCCGGATCGGCTGAGCTGAATCGATACGACGATTAACCTCGATTCACGATCCAAAATGACCATATATGGGCAAAGACAACGCCCCATCGGCCAACACCACACCCTACTTCCATATACAGGAACTGGACTTAAAAACGAGTTAGGTTCCAGAGGTCTGTTCGTAAGTCAATTTGTTCGTAAGTCCCACTCTACTCTTGGTGATTACAAACACGTTGTACGGCATGTACACTCTATATGGGGAATGGCTTTTAAAGTTATATAATCTCCTGTAGATGTCGATTCACACTGGTTCTTCAGGTTCTGCAGATGTAGATGCCGCCACCACCGCCGTCTATTGCACGGCGGTTGAACTCGCGACGCTCGGTCCGAACAGGCAACTGGACATACGGACAGATTTTATTAGTATCTCTGAAAGTTCGGAAGTCGAATGTTCGTAAGTAGAGGGGTCCCTGTATGGGCAAATCTCTGATCGTTGATTTCGTTGGGTGTCCGATTACATCGTATTACAGCACAGCGGTGGCGAGATTTTAACGATCCCGCCTTGTATACAGGAGGCCTTGGGTTTGATCCCAAACCTGACGAGACTTTGTTGAGTGATCATTTGTGGGTCAGGTATCTTCTGAAAAAGAGCTGTATAGTGAGCCTTACCTGGTAAAATAGAAAATTGTTTAGTTCATCTGAGTCGAGGTGAGCTTAAGCTGGTGAGGTTTTGCGAGTCAGGAGTGGTGAACCAGGTGCGGTGAGCGACACCCACGTGATTTGTGTGTGGTGAGAAATACCCATGTTAGACAGGTGTGGTGAGGGAGTATTTATGTTATGTCATTCTGGTGAGGTGTGCATCTCTGCTGCACCACTGACGCCTGTGTCCTGTTGCATGCACACTTATATACAAAACCGAGATTCCCCATGCAGCCTTAAAAAAATTGTTGGGGAAACTTCCGTGCGCGAGCACCTGCTAAGGCCGGCGCACGGCGCACGAGGAGGTGGGTGGCCAGCACCACTCCCGACCTGACCGCTTTTATCTCCCCAGTGTTGATGTTTACTTACCACACGAGGTGCTCGTTTAAGGTTGACTCATCCGAGCGGTGAAGAGGGGCCCAGGACTGGTCATATATTCGTCGCGAACGTTTGAATTTTGACCGGGAATTGAACTGGGGTCACCAGGTTTTTATTGCAGCTCACTGATCATTGTGCCACCGCTAACCACTGCGCTACTGCGCGCTCCTACACATGCACGCACACACATACATGCACACATGCATGCACACGCACGCATGCACATATTCATACACGCGTGCACACACGCATACACGCACACGCAGGAAGATCCGCGGGGAGGGAAAGAAGTGTCGCAAGGTGTACGGCATGGAAAACAAGGACATGTGGTGCACTGCCTGCCGTTGGAAGAAAGCCTGCCAGCGCTTCCTCGACTGAAATCTCACCTCCACAGCCCAGCCTAGTGCAGCCCGGTCCAGCCTAGCCTAGCCTAGCCCAGCCTAGCACCATCTGTCTCTTCGTCCCCACTCCTACAGAGATTCCCTGACCCCCCCCCCCCCCCACCGTCTGCTATGGTGGTTTGGCCCATCACCCGTCAAGTGTCCGGGGTCCCATCTCTGTGAATCGGCTGGAACTGCCGAATCAGCCTTCGTCAGTTTGCTCCGTCGTTTGGTGGTGGAGGTGGTTGTTGGTGGTGATAATGGTCAAGACACGGGCACGGTTTTGCCACAAAGATGTTGGGTGAAGAGGGAAGGTATTAAGATCCGGCTGCGTGAGTGAAGTGGGGGTCCACACAGCTCGTGAGGACGAAGGTTGACATCAGGGGGGACACCTCCGTTAACGCCACGTCAATCTCGATGGTGGAAACTACTCCCAACGACGCAAACCATCGGGAACGATCCACGCTCAATTTATTTTTTGCCCCTTTTTATCTGCGACCGGCAGAATCGTCGAGGAACGGATGTGTCCCACGTGGGTAATTTGGAGCTGTGGGGGACGTGGTTTTTTCTGCCACGGTGGAAGGCTCGCACGAGCCGCCCGCGGTGGCATGAAACCACTTTGAGGGATGGGGGGTGGGAGACATCTAATTTTACAAATTGCCACGGGATAATGGGAATTTCCACGTTCCTAATTCCAGCCTATGACTCGGGACTAGTTCACGATGAAGATTAAAAAAAAATCAGCAAGATCCTTGCGCGACAGTGACGGTGAGAGAGCAAATTTCTGTTCGAACAAAGAAAATACGAACCCCGAGTTTTATTTTGGAAACTGCAACGTCGCACGCTTAGCTCTGTTTCGACGCGAGACGAAGTCGCAATTTGTGCAGGCAAACATGCGACCCAAAGCATCGCGCAATCACTCTCTCCGTTTTACCTTCCATACATAGAGGTGTTCACATTCAGAACACGATAAAAATATGAGAAACACTCTCTGGGATAAGTATTATAGGACGATACGATCACAATACAACTCTTATGATTTATAAAGTAAGCTCTGCGATTCATATTCCTGCAGCTGACTAGGTAGGAACAGCCTCAGAACACGAAGACCCCTGTTGGTGGGAAAACTTCCATTTGTACTCGTGACAGAACAATGCTTAATACATGAGACTCTTCAAACTTTGAATCAAGAGTTCAGCTCACTCCAGCAGTCGTTAGAGCCTGAACTGTTTTGAATCCGATCGTAGCCGCTTATCCTTAATACGGCTAAAATCTTCCCTCTTCATAAAAAAGTGCAGCCTGCTCCAGTTCACACAATTGCTCCTTTCCTCACTGAAATTATACAACGGGAAAGCATTGGACTAGGTAGGAAATCGATTTTTTTTATTGACGCGGTCATTCAAATTCTCACGAACCGAAATGGAAATAAATAAATAAATAGAAATTCCTTTTTTCAAACATGGAACATTTACACAAAAGTTACGTGCAGAATGACCAAAATGCATGTGAAAAGGGAAGTCTGACAAGGTGGGTCTATTAGCACAGGTTTTGACACGAACAAAAACAGCTGCCGGAGATGAAGATCCAGCGATCAAGACGTCATCGTGGCCAAAGCCGTCGATAGCCGCCACCACCACCACCACCTTTGCCAACACAGCTCACTACCAACAACCCTCTTACCCTGTAATAGGTCCCCTTGCTGCGCAGGAGAGACGCGCAACCTCTGTCTCAGATTTACCCGAACCAGTTTCCCACTATTTGCTCTTGCCGTCTTCTCCTGGATCGCCGGACTTTGTGGAGACCACTTCGCAATTCAATCAAGAGGTTGTCTCGGTACGGCTCAATTACCACGATGGGGCCATGGCAGTGAACCCTGATGTGGGCCCTAGGCGACTCCCCATCATCACGACCATGACCCCCCCCCACCACCTCTCGGCTTCCCAGAGTCCCCGAGGCTCTACTGCAAAATGTCATCGGTGCGATGACGTAACAACGAAAACCGGCCCTTCACTGCAGTCGTCCGCATCTTCCGTCCATGCCGCTACGTCTGTCGAACCAGCAGCTAAATAATTTAGAGATTTGAAACTTTCACGGTTTCCGTTCCACTCTCTCGGAGAGAGAGAGAGAGAGACGGAATGATTCTGAGTCGCGGGGATAACCACAGACAAGCGGGGAAAGAGGCAGCCAATAAAGAAACCGGCGCTAACAATCGTCCCAAGCGCTGTGTTGCTAAATACTGCGACGATTGGCGAAGCTCCATTCGTGAGTGCGCTTAAAGGGCACCACTGGCTTCTCGGGAAAACTTCACAACCAAATCTCGGCAGTTTGGGGGTAGTGTGGGAGCTTGGGACACTGCGGAGTCGTAAGGATTTAATTTGGGTTTTTTTTTATTTGTGCCGAGACTAGAGAGGGTGGGGGGAGAGCAAAAAAAAAAACTGATGTTAAACGTGGAGAGAAAAAAAAATCTTCCCCCTACCCCCGCACCACACACCCACGAGACAAAAAAATAACCGACTGGAACTGTGCGTTTTGAGGAGTGTGCTGGAGATTGGGGATGTTGGCGTGGAGAGTGCAGTCGACGTGGTGACTGATCAGGGGGAAGTGTAGACAGAGCAAAGTAGAATAACTTGGGGGGGGGGGGGGTGGCAGCGAGCGACGCATTGGTGGCAGCAAGAGCGGGGGCTAGATGCGTCCCAAGGGGTTGCGAAGACCCAGGGGATTGAAGGAAAAGAAGACGACGACGATGATGGTGATGCTGTTGATGGGACGTGCCCGATGGGGGGGAACATTAATGTGCCGGACGTGGAGTCGCTGGAGTTGCCACCTTTGAGCTACAAAAAGAAACCAGAGACATTTCATGGGAAGAAGAAGAACAACAACAATTTCACCCAATACTGGAAGAGTGGAGAACTACATGTAAACGCATTGTCTCAAGTGGTATCTTATTAACGCAACTGACAAAAGGGCAGGACTTTGTTTATCAACGTCTGTTCCCCAGGGGGAAAGATTTTACAGATTGCCACAGTAACGAAATGGACAATCCTGGGAAATCCGGGACGGGTCGCAACCCCGTGGAGCCACGAGTCACATAGCTTGCCCACCGTGGCGTGGGCCCCGAGAGTTGCACCACGTGCTTGCTGTCACGTGTCTCGTCTCACACGCCGTGAGTTTTCCTCTCTCTGCCAATCTCCTTTGTGTGCTCCTTCGATGTTGTGCTCTACCCTTCTCGCGAGCCCTCAAGGCTTCGTGATGGATTTGGGGCTAAGGTTCGAGAGGTGCTTTAAGAACAAACGACACGCTGCACTTATATAAAACAAAATAGGGCAACTCATTTGTATAAAATACTACAGCGGTTTAAAATTATAAAAAAAAAGTGGTTTCAGCGAGACCATTTACATGTTTGGGTCCTCGCTTGTTGGTGCACAATAGTGGTGTCTATCGCAGCCGGTCAAATGTTAAGGTAAAAAAGCATACACGTTAACGAGTAAGCATACAGTTTCTTTCGTTCGGATGTTTTTTCGTTACCAATTTACAAAGCGTTGAGTGAGTAGGGTGCTATATTTAATTACTTTTGTTAACTGCCACACAAGGGCTGAGTTTAGTAGGTTTTAAAGCAGGGCACCCACCGCCATCCACTTTTTTTGCTGGGGACGAGATGATGATGATGATTGTTGAGACGTGAATGTCCAGAGACGTGGCCAGTAAACTTTACCCGTGCAATGAGAGCAAGTCGCGGGAGAATAGTTGGTGGTCGCTACTTTTTGCGCATGGAGCAAGGGCCGGATTTATGGTGGAGGGATAATATCTTTGCTCCAATCGGATGCGGTTTCCTTAGGTATGAGGGTACCTTTCACCCTTGTCAGCCTTGTGGGGAGGGGGGGGGCAAGGCTTTGTGATATCGTCCTCTTGATATGACCGATTGTAGGGAACGCTGCCCCGTGGTCCGTATCGGTTGGCATGCTGGATTTGCAAACCAGAGGTCGCCGGTCCTGTTAGATCTCCCGGCCACGGAATTGGAAGCAGTGCGGAAAAGAGTTTATAACAAATTAGCTCTCTCTCTCCCGCCCCACACCCCCAAACCATCCATCCTCCGTCCACCCATCAGTATAAAACGGGTACATCACAAGTTAGTCGATCGGCAGGTCGTGAGTGGTGGGGGTTAAAGTGTGGGTGTACTACCTCTTCGGAGAGAGACGTGTATGGCCGGGGGTGGAGGAGTCGGCCAGAAACCCCCCTCTGAGCAAGTTGTTGGTTCCCGAACCCTTTTCTGGCCACACGTTGGGTGGCAGTGTCAACAACTCAAAACAATCTTCGCGGAAACCGCCATGCGGTAAGCAACAGCAAAAAATAATCTGGTGGTGGGAACATGTTTTTGTATCTGAACCACGTCGCCCTGTACCACTTTCCCCCACGCGGCCTTGTGGACCACAGTAATTGGAGGAATCGCTTCTGTGCAGGGGTCCGTCTCGAACGGACTCGAGAGCTCCCTCTAGCGAAGGCATTTGGGTCGGCGTTGGCGCGAGCAGGCAAAGTACAGGGCGACAGCACCGTGACGAACACGTTTTCATAAAATGGCCATCCTGATTACCGTTTCACTGGGTCGTGGTCACATAATTGGCAAGTGTTTGTCCGTGGTAGGCTTTCACCACCCGACTTAGCCAAACGAATCTATGCGTCACGCGTGCAAGCGTTTTAACAACGCGTCAATTCTTGTCGCTGTTTCCGTCTTCTCCCAGTGAGTTGAAGAAGCATTGTCACAACCAGAGTGGGCGATTGGATACGGGACGTTTCATTCTGACTTGCTGGTGACGCAAGTGTCTCCCAGTCTTCTGGGTTTTTCCCTCCACATTTAGAAATGACATCGCGCGTTCAGATTATTTGGCTGCTATAACTTCCACGCGATGATGATGATTTCAGCCACTTTGCTTGAGCAATCATTTCTGATAGCCAGGTCGCTTCTGAACAAAAAGCTTCATAGCTCAGTAGGGAGTCTTACCCGGCAAAATAAACGATAGTTTATATCGTCGATGTTAAGAGGACGTCATCCGACATCGCCTTCTGGGCCTATTGGGGCACTTGCTCACACAACACCACGGATCTCTCTTGGGAAAATAGCCAGGAAACTCGGGGGGCGGGGTGGTGGTGGTGGTGGTGGGGGGGCAGAGATCCCTAAATCCGGCCCTGCCAAGCGAGTGACTGGCAGAACGGCGACGCCACTTCCGCGACACGATGCCAAATATTTCACAGCGGGGAAGTCCAACTCTCTCGGTTCGCAGACTCAGGAGTGGGGGGAAGGGTTAAAAAAGTGGCATTTTGTGGTGTGACGACAAGAGCTGACTTTGTTTTTTTCGTGTTGTTTGTAAAGGATGAAAAGTTGAAAGTCTAAACGGTGAACATTTTGTCGCGAGCGAGGCCCAGCAAGCGGCTGCAACGTCGTTGAGGTGCTTTTCCAATGTCGAGTTACGCCGTAAACACGGCGTGGTTAGTAATACAAAAAAAAATTGTGAAATAATGACTACAATAGTAAAAAAAACAAATCGTTCATACTACTGCGCAGGGTTTATTTTTTCCCACGGTTGTGCCGATGTTTTTTTTGCGGGGTTGTACGGCCAGCCCGTTTCGGTCTGGCGTCTTGTCCCGACGTTTCGCTCCCACGTCCTGCGTTGAGGGCCTCGGGGTGGGTGCCTGGGAGGTTCGTTGCAAACTGCATTTTTTTAGTTGCTGCTGCTCTTGAACAAGGCTCCTGAATCACGTGGAGGCGAAAAGTCGGGCTTCGTGCCGAAACGGGCTCAACGACCCCCCAAAAAACACGTCTGGAGAGAGAGAGGAGAGAGATCGCAGCGAACTGAAATTCAAATTTCATGCCCACGCGCGAACCTCATCCTCGCCGCGGAAACGTTCAGCCGCTTTAACTTCACCTTTTTATCCCCACAAGTCGCTTGTTGGAGAGTTGGTTCTCAATCGAGCCTCTCGCTCGCTCGTTCACTCCGTTGGCTCTGTTATGAATGTTGTTCATCGTTTGCGGCGATAAGAATGGTGGTGAGTGTTTGAAAAAAAAAAAGGTTCCAGGTGGTGGCAGTAGAGTTGTGAGTCGATTGACGGGTGGGATGGACGGTGGGGGTGGTGGTGCCCCCCACTCACATCACCTGCCCACTGCCAAACCATCACAGGGGACCCACCCACCCACCCCATAGGTGACACGTGGAAACTTGCAACGAACGTATGGCAGCACCACCGTCCCCCCCCCACCGTCTCCCCTTTACAGACGCAGGCATTGCCCATGGTGGTGAGTTGGAGGGGGATTCCTTCGACCGTGTGTACTCCAGCACGTGGTACACAACTACACTGTGCATAGTTTAATGGGTGTCTTGTAAAGAAAAACTGCAGAAAAATTCGATAACCTACAAAAGTGAAATGTAAAGTTAGCTTTGAGATGGGTTTAAGTGTGCGGCGAAGGGGGGTGAGTTTTGATCACGGTAGAGTCATCTGTCAAGGGGGGGGGTAGGGGGTGTGTGGAGATTATTCAATGAATATTGACATGGTTTTTCAATAGGTGGTCAATCGTTTCAGTGAAACCAGGTGCCGCTCTCAACCTGGTTAAACAAAGTCAGCGTGGGACGAGAGTTACCGTGTCCCGAGCCTCACCCGCCGCGTTACATGGGAGAGACGGCGGGGCACGGACAGAGATGCTACTTCGTTTTAACGAAAACAAAAGTCGACGATGGGGTTGTCGGCGTGCGTCAGTGACGAGCCGGTGTTGTCGAAAAAGATACATGCGGGTTGTCGATTTTAATGAAAACATACGTGTGGGTTATCGAGTTTTTTCTTTATCTCTATCGCCAGCTAACACCCCCCCCCCACCTTCTCAATGATTTCCCTCATCATCAAAAGCGTGGCCTGCCTGAGAAAGATGCGTGTCCGAACGTGTTTGTGATATCGTTTTTGGTTTGTCACAGGAACGCACTGGAGATGATGGTCGTGAAGGGCACGACTCGGGGTTTTCCAAACTCCAGTACTCGCGCCTTTCCGCGACTATCACCCGACTCCTCCCGTTCAGTTACAAATCAAATTCGTTTCGCGCTTCACGCGCCCGATGATTGTTAAACACGTCCCACTTGACGCGTAATTTACGCTGCCCTCATGTGGAGCACGTGCGTGCGCGCACACACAGAAGATGTCTACACACACGGGACACGTGTACATACATCCACACGGAACACGTGTACACACACAGAAGATGTATACACACACTGAACACGTGTACACACATCCACACGGGACACGTGTACACACACACACAAGATGTATACACACACGGGACACGTGTACACACGGAACACGTGTACACACACAGGAGATGTATACACACACACAAGATGTCACACGGGGCACGTGTACACACACCCACACGGAACACGTGTACACAGAAGATGTCTACACACACGGGACACGTGTACACACATCCACACGGAACACGTGTACACACAGAAGATGTATACACACACAGGAAATGTAAACACACTGAACACGTACACACACACACACCGAAATTTCAACCTTCATTTGAATCGGCTCTCTACGCGGTGCCGCGTGGAACTTGTTTAACAATCATCAGGCACGCGCAGCGCGCGACGAGTTGAATGGGAGGAGTCGTCGTTTGGTAAACGCGGAGAGACGCGGCGCGTTGGTGATGGCGGTCGTGGTGGTGGTGGTGCGCCGCGGGGACTGGAGTTTGGCAAACCGTACGTACTTACGTAGTGAAAACGATGATTTTTTAAGAGGGGGTGGAGGGTGGGTGCCCTTAGTTCATCAGGAGTGCTCGGTGCTTTAATCATTCAGCGGCCCCGTCGTTTGCACGGGAGGCCGCGATCAGAAGTGTCGATTGACTTGTCGCGTGGGCAATCAATCCACCCCTTCCATGCTACACGCCCGCCGTCCCGTTTGCAAAAACAACAACAACAACAAACAACAAGTGCTTGCGGCGGATTCACGGCCGTCGGCGGTTTGAATTGGAATTGGACAAAACGCATGCGCTTGTATCGATCCTTCAAGTGCAACCACACACTTGTTCTAAACGATGAGACCCCCCCCCCCCCCCATTCACAAGAGGGGAGGAGAATATGCCGGGACCAGGAGCTTTGCGGTGGGCCGCTCTTGCAAAAAAAAGAGAGATGCCCTCCGTATAGCCCCGATAGGCCTTAAATTCGCGAGAAAATTACAAAATCCCGCGTCTTGACGTGAAGATTTTGACGACGCGCAAAGCTCCGCTTTTCACAAAACGTGCACGGTGCTGCCTTGCCTGCATGCCCATGCGACCCGCTCCACACACATTGCCTGTTACAAGACGGGTCTCTGCCTCGTCTCGAGACCACGCGCGCTGTTGGTGTGGTGTAATCAACAGCAACAACAATGATGGAGATGATACGGCCTCACTCGGCTCTCTCTCTCCCAGTTTCTTTTGAAATGCCTTTGGCCCGCCAAATGTATTTGAAACTTCTGTTAGGCCTTCAGTAAGGGGAAGGGTTCCCCCATCCACCCCTGCTTTTAAGTTTATGAAAGTACAAAGTCAAAAGTGCATTGTCCCATAAATCACCATTTGAGGCATTGGTGCGCTCGATCTGTTCAGACCTGCGGCTAGAGCAAGTGGTGGAAATTCTACCTTCCTGTGACGGGCGGGGCGGAGGGGGAAGGCGAGTTTATCCTTAGGACAAGCACTGTTGACGCCTCCCACAAAGTGGTAGGCAATTTATCGACCTCCCCCTCCCACCCCCCAGCGTGATGATGGGCTGAGTTAGCCCTCCAATCTGGAAGTGAACTCGCAACGTGGTGGTTGTGAGCCGCTCGCTCTCCAGTTGAGCGACCTGGCCGGCAATGTTTATATGTCTCGCCCATGACCCCCCCCCCCCCCCCCCCCCCATCTAATCAAATCTGATTTGCCGAAACAGTATTTTTCAGAGAGTGGGGTTTTCATTACAGCAAGTAATGGCCTCTGTGGTTCAACATTGGTTTAACTTTGAAAGCGCTCAAAGGAACCAAAGGCCTCCTGAACGTTGGGCTGCGTTTTGAGCGATTGGCTCGAGGGGCCCAGCCCTCCCAACTGATTAGACTCCATTCCGCAGTTTTCCCTGCGGGTTTGGTGCTTTGACTGAGCTGCGTTTGTCGTTACACTTAAGACGCGCGGTGTTGTTTTCCATGCTATTGTTTTCGACCGATAACTGGACTCTCTTGTGAGCGTCGTTTCAGTATTCGCAGCTTACGGATTTAACTTTTATAAAAGCAGTATCCGTCATTCCATTGCAAAGTGCGTGTGTTTCGGTAACTTTAACGTAATAAACTAAAACAAGACACATGCAATGCAACATTGGGCACGATTCGCATACATCTCGCTGCCGTTGAGAATCACCTTGGCTCATGTTTTTGTTTAAACGTTTGCTGCAGTCGCTGCCCCTTTGTCGGTGCCAGTCCACTGCTGGATGAAGGCCTCCCCCTCGCAGCTCGAGTACGACCATACTTCACCGCGCTGGTCCCATCAGTGCGGGGTTGGTGAACGAATGCGGGAGGCATCCATTAACCGGGTTTCAGACATCGGTCGCCAACTGGCTGGTGTTTGTTAGCCGTGGCGCCGGAAATCGAACTCAGGTCGCGAGATATACAAGCGTTACATTGGCGGCAGCGGTTGTGTTCTGAGTTTAAAGCAAACACACACTTGTTCATGGCTGTAGCTGTTGCTTATTAATATACTCTCGGTTGTTCGACGCGCGCAAACGAAGAGTCGCTTCCCGTTGCCGTGTTCCGCTCCGCGAGATTGCAAATGTGAACCGTAATCGTGTCCTGGATTGATTTTTTTTTTGTGTGGCTTGGGTTGGGCCGCTCAAAGAGAGTCGGAGCCAGCCCAGCGGTGCAACGCTTCGAGGGGGCGGGGGGGGTCGTGAAAAATTGCATGAAATATTAACAACTTTTTAGGTTTTCTTTGGGGGGGGGGGGCTAGACCCAGTTTTAATCAGGCCGTGAAGCGCGCGTACGACGCTTAACGCTTAAACACACGCACACGTGCGCGAGTGAGCCATATGACCGACCGATGGTGACGATGGTGACGATGATGATGACAATTTACAGGGTTTATTATCATCGGCGCGGGGTTGCTCTCAAGAGATGGAACGCTCCGTTCTCTCGATCGCTCGGCGGGCGAGGAAGCCCCGAGCCTCGTCTTTAAGAACCGCGAATCGAGCGGCGCCGTTCACGAGACCTATTGAATGTTCGATGACCGACGAGGTAGTGGAGTGGTTGAACTTGAGCAGCTACTTCGAGAGTCTGCCCCGCACCCTCCCCCATCATCTCAACATCCCTGAAAGTTGTTGTTGTTACACGGGTCGTGAGAAAAGAAGAAGATGTAAGGGGAAGAAGAGGGAAAAAAGCGTAAAAAAAAATATTTGTAAATCGACGCGACAAAAACAAACAAAAAAATATTTAGTCGGAAATAATTCGCGCCGTCGTCTCTTTTGTGATGTAGTCTTCCCCTGGTCCGTAATGACACGTCGCCTCTTGAGCTTACTCCGCGACGCGGGGGCTAGCGATGGTGTGAACTTTTAGTCTCGTGGTGTACGTGATGTCGCTAGTCTCGATAATGTACTGCAGTTAGTTCGGCGATGTTAGTGAGTTCGACGGTGCAGCAGCTGGGCTTGTTTGCGGCGAGGTGGTCGTGAGAGAGAGGAACACGGGAGGAGGGCCGAAACCACTCGCTCGCTCGTACTCGGGGGTCATATATGACGACGACCCTTTGAGGTCCGCACAGACAGGGATCACGAACCCTCTCGCCGCGCTGGCGTCTCGAGGCCAAGTCTCAAGGCCCCCGGCGGGTTCGTTAGGGAGTTTTGACAAATCTCTGCGTAATTTGGCGGTGGTGATAATTTGTAAAAAAAAAAAATAACGATTTAATTGGACCTTCAAATTTGACTTTTTTTAAGTCGCGCTGCCCAGAACTCTAATGACGTCACCGCCATGTGAAATGCCATACCCTCTTAATACAGTGCCAGTAAAGTGACGTCATTGGAGTGCTGAGGTGGCGCTGCTGAAATCCACCTTCAGGCGTTATCATCAAGGACGCTTCTTCATGCGGCACTCTTAAGCATTCCAGCCAGATTCAGAGCTGTGTGCGTTGTGGCTTCGCGTCGTTCTGGAGCGGTGGTTCTTAACCTGAGGTGGCACGCCACCCCCTGGGGGGTGCGAGTCATGGCCAGATTCATCTTTTTTAGAAGGTAAATAACCGAAAAGACAAATTGCGCACGGGCGCGTTACGTTACAACTTATTTTGTTTCATCAAACTTACGTATTTATTAACGTTGTATATGTTGTTTTTTTACGATTGAGGCTGCAGTCAAGGTTAAGAACCAATGCTCCAAACCACCCAACAGGATGTCGAAATCTCCAGTGACGTCACTGCAGTGCCGCGTTAAGGCGGACAGCAGGTCTGGCGCAACTGTGGCTGGACCGCGTCCTGATTGGTCAAATCATCGGCAGTGGCGTTGTCGACGTCTTATGGACATGGCAACATTGTACAGCCCCTTTTGTCAAACCCACCGCTGGATTAAGGCCTCCCCCGACCTCTTTCCGTGCCAGTCAGGGCGTGGTGTTTGACCATACTTCACCGCACTGGATAGTGCCAATTGGTGAAGTCCTGGTGTCTGGTGGGTGGGGGGGGGGAGGGGTGGTAGGGTCGGTTCGGATATTACCCACCACAGGTTATCACACTGCGGAGAGCAAGCGCGCTGAGAACCACTGAGATCCACAGGGCACATACACACACTCTCTCTCACTGCCCTAGGGGACAATGAAAACATTCTGAAAAGGCAGTTGTGACTTTGGGGGCACCGTATGGATTCTGGAGTTCCCCCCTCTCGTTGTGCACCTTCCCCACCCACCCCGCACCCCCCTCCACCCCCACCCCACTCCCCCCTCTCGATCATCAGACCCACCTCTCGTTGCCCAAGGGGTTACTTCACCCCCCCTGCCCCCCCCCCCCCCACCAAAGTGGTCTCGCCGGACAAGTTTTCCGAATATTCCGTACGTATTACAACCGTAGAGTAATGCTAATGCATGCCCGTGTGTTTTTTGCTCCTCCCGTTGCATGCATGCAGTGTTTTCCCCTGTAAATAATCTCTTACCCCCCCCCCCCAGTCGGGAATTGTATTCGGCAGTGTGTGTGTGTGTATATAGGGTGCACGTATAGTGCAGCGTGGACGCGGTTGCGTCGCAGGCTTTTTTCTCCAACCCGTATCGCCGCGTTTCAACGCGTGTCTCCTGGTGCCGGTCGCGTCCGCGTGCACTCTTCCTTGCTGTTGATGTGCCAATGAGCAGAAGGTCGACTTGAGTTGGGATTGGAACGCCTGAAAGGGGGGAGGGGGGGGGCGTGTTGTCTTTGCAAGTCAAAGATGTCCTCACGAGGCGTAGCGTTTGTGGGCCCCGTTCATCTTGGGCCGTCACTTAATCTCCACGCAGCCCTCCCCCGCGCACCTTCTGTGGCGTCTGATTTGCGCACTTGGCCATTGTCACTATTCAACCTCGTCCAATTCCTTGTTTGTCGGAGAAGCTTCAGTTCTGTGAAGCCCCCAACCAACCTCCAGAACGTGAAGCGAAACGTCGGGACATCGTGCCGAACAACGCGACCCAGGAAACGCAATCGGAGAGAGCCATAGAAGCAGCCCGACCGCGGAAACTTTCGCAGGTCGAACAACAAACCAAACAATGGCTCGTCGATAATACCGCGCGAGCCCCCAAAAGAATGAATATCTTAATAGGCGACGTTTCGGGCAATGGCCCTTTTTCATAGGACAGGCAAGGTGAGAGACTGATATTAATAAGAGATAGCGATGACAGTATCGTTGGAAATGGTCACGGTTTTTTAATGTTGTAAAGCGACGCCAGCCCATGGCGACAGAAGCCGACTTTGAGTCGGTGGGCGCGCACTGAAGAGGCGATCTGGATCCCCCGTGCTCGCCACGGCACTGTCGAGTGGGAGGGTTCTTAGCTGATCGGCGATGACCCCCCCCCAGCACCCGGAGCGGACGGCAGTGGTTCATCTCAAAGCGACACGCACTTTGTGAGGAGTCGACGCGTCGTTCCGGGTGGCTTCGCACTCTCACACTCTCTCTCACGCTCTCTCTCGCTGTCTCACGCACTCGCTCGCTTTCTCACGCACTCTCATACTCACTCTCACGCACTCTCACGCACTCTCTCACGCTCTCTCACACGCACTATCTTGCTCTCTCACGCGCTCTCACGCACTCGCTCTCTCACGCACTCTCACACTCTCTCACTCTCACGCACTCTCACACTCTCTCGCTGTCTCACGCACTCTCTCGCTCTCTCACGTACTCTCACACTCTCTCACGCACTCTCTCGCTCTCTCACGTACTCTCACACTCTCTCACGCACTCTCTCGTTCTCTCTCACACGCACGCACTCTCTCACTCTCACGCACTCTCTCACGCACTCGCTCTCTTACACTCTCGCTCACTCACGCACCCTCACACTCTCACGCTCTCTCACACTCGCTCACACTCACGCACTCTCGCACTCTCGCTCACACTCACGCACTCTTACGCACTCGCTCTCTCACACTCTCGCTCACACTCACGCACTCTCACACTCGCTCACACTCACGCACTCTCTCACGCACTCTCACACTCGCTCACACTCACGCACTCTCTCACGCACTCTCACACTCGCTCACACTCACGCACTCGCTCGCTCACGCTTGCTCTCTCTCGAGCGAGAGGGCAAGCGTGTGTGAAGCCTTTTACGGTGGCGAATCTCACGGGACGGTGGTTCGGGATGTATGCGTGTGGTGTACATAATAAATAGTGTCCGTGGAGTAGCACTGCAGTTCTCGAGATGGTATTCCCATATAAACAAAATCACAATTATTACGCCTCTGTTGAAAGACATAAAACCAAACTGAAGCACCTTAAAAGACGAAGTAAATATACAAAAATACAACAAAAATCATAATAATCATTTTGCCACGGTCGAAGATGCACTCGTGTTTTGTAAGGAAAAGGAAACCAAACTGAAGTGTGCGTCAGTTGTTTTTTTTACATATATAGCAAGAGAGATTTGAGCGAGCGCGCATTGTGGCCCTTTTGATGTGAGGTCTCGGAAGCGAGAGGATGCCGATGTAGCGGGGCCAGGTCTGTGGGTGCCTATTAACACCGGTGCTGGAGGTTATTGATGTTGTGGTTGTTGTGGTGAAGAGGTGCTGGAGGTGATTGATGTTGTGGTTGTTGTGGTGAAGAGGTGCTGGAGGTGATTGATGTCGTGGTGGAGAGAGGTGCTGGAGGTTATTGTTGTTGTGGTTGTTGTGGTGAAGAGAGGTGCTGGTGGTTATTGATGTTGTGGGGAAGAGAGGTGCGATATGGGGAGGGATGGGGGGCGGACGATTTGTCTTCTATCGTTCGCCTGCCCTGCCCGCGTCCCCCCACAAAGGGATGGAGAGGGGAGCGGGGCTCTGAATGAACATATTTGTTGAGTAACCTCCACTCACGTCGGATGGTGTTGCCTGGTTGGTGTCTATGGTTTATTTTTCTGGGGGGGGGAGAGTGGAGCAATAGCTTTGGGACTGTGTGTAGTCAATGCAAGTTGGGCCGGTGGTATATTGTTATTACAAAAAAAAGCCACTCACTAGTAAGAGAGTATCATGAAAGCAATGCATGCGTGTTTGTAAAATGATGGATTTTTACACCGCGCGACAGACGTATGAAGTGCAAAGCGGTGGTGAAATGATGATGATTATACACTAACATTGAAGCGTACATGTAAAAAAACCAAGACGACCGGACCCACACGAGACCAAAAAAAATAAAATAAAACAACTTTTCGTTCAATACTTTGCATGTTATCGCAATGTCAAGCCAAGTTTCGCAAAAAAAACTTTAAATAATATTTTCAGAGGCAATAAGAAGTGGTTGGAGTTTTGTTATGGTGCGGGTATTAGGGTAGTTCTGAAACAAAGACGATGTTTGTTCTTCATCTACCCCCCCACCCCCCCTTTGTTTTCCACCGCCATGCACACCCGAGCCGTGCCAGCGCAGGACCCCCCCCCCCCTCCGCGCGCGGATCCGTTTGGGTTTTCCCCACCGGTTCGTTTTTAGCCGGAAAAAAAAACGGAACTGTTGAAACCGGACAACGTGAACGAACAAAAAAGACCTCGATCTCACAAACGTAGAAACCCTCCTGAATCCGATGGGCCGGACGCCAAACGGAGCCAGGGCCCCACCATATGTGTGGTGCGCGTTCGAGTGTGTGAGGAGCGGTGGCGCAGCGGTTAGCGCGCTGCGCTACGAACCCGGTGGCCCGCGGTCGATTCCCACTCAAAGACCGGTGACGATTATCTGAACCACGGGCCCTCCCCTCGCTCGACATTATTGAGTACCTGGAGCGGTGTGTTAAACATCGCCACTGGGGAGACAAAGGCGGCCGGGCGTGGTGTTGGCCACCCACCGCCTCGTGTGCCACAGTGCCGGCCTTCGTAGGTGCTGCTCGCTAACGGCACTTGCCCTGACAGTCTGTTACAGGCTACACGGGGGGATCTTTGCGTGACGTCGGTCACCGCGGCGTGTGTGGGGTGGTGACGCAGCGTCACGCCGGCGTCATCGACGACGCCCTTCGGCCCTTCAGTAAATCCATAATAAATAGCCTGGCCCCTTCCTGAACCGTGCCGGGCTGGTCCCTGCACGGTGCTGGCGTGGCTCGAGAGTTTTTTGTGCGGTGGAACGGGGTGGGGCGAGGGGGTGGTGTTGGGGTTACCCGAGTGGGTGTCTTTTGTTTTTAATATACGCTCTTACTATCGTTAAATGTGCATTTACCTGAGTGTTTTCTTAGCGATGGCGCACAAACATATCTTAACACGCGGGATTTTTCACCGTCTGTTCGTTCGTGGGTGTTTTGACGCGGTTTTTTGTGTTTGTTTGACGGGACATGGGGAGGGGGGAATGGGTGGGGTGGGGTGGTTGTGGTTAAAGTTCACAAAACTCGTGCATGTTCTTAAAATGGGCCGCGCGGCCTCCGCTAGATGTTCACAACTTTGCTTCAGTATCGGGGTCAACTCGGCTACGCACCGTGTATTTAAAAGCTTGTACTCTTTAACACAATTACGCTCGGATCCTACTGTATATTGGACAAGGTGTTCACGAGATATCGATCACAAGTAACTTTGATGATGATGATGTAAACGATCTCTTTATTTTTCAGTTATTGGAATTTTATGGGGTGTACACCGGCCGCTCATTTTGAAGACGCATGTGACTACGATTCCACGCTGAGATCATGGAGATCATCATCGAGATAATCATGGAGATCAGGTCATCTCGATGTTCATGGAAATTGCCATCGAGATGACCATGGAGATGACCATTGACATGATCACGGAGATGACCATCGAGATGATCACGGAGATGACCATCGAGATGATCAAGGAGATGACCATCGAGATGACCATCGAGATGATCAAGGAGATGACCATCGAGATGACCATCGAGATGATCAAGGAGATGACCATCGAGATGACCATCGAGATTATCAAAGAGATGACCATCGAGATGTGCATGGAAATGACCATCGACATGATCATGGAGATGATCGTGAAGACGTTAATGGTGATAATCATAGACATGATCATGGAGATCATCTCGATTGTCATGGAGATGACCATCGAGATGACCATGTAGATGCCCATCGATATGATCAAGGAGATGACCATCGAGATGACCATCGAGATTATCAAAGAGATGACCATCGAGATGTTCATGGAAATGACCATCGACATGATCATGGAGATGATCGTGAAGACGTTAATGGTGATAATCATAGACATGATCATGGAGATCATCTCGATTG